TTTTTGATTGGCATGTTTTATTTGTGTGCTGTGTGATACATACAGCTCATTTAAAATGGAATTGGAACTCGGTGGGTTATTAACCAAAGCAGTGTAAAAGCAAGTTAAGTTGCTTTGTGTGGTGGAAGGTTTTTGTCCCATTTCTGCAGATAGTACTTGATGAAAATATTGGTAGTTTGCTTTGCCAGGCAAAACAAGAGCTGGGACAAATACAGCCAGGGTTGGGAGGCATTTAAATAACCCCACAGCAAAAAAAAAAAAAAAAAAAAAAAAAAAAAAAAAAAAAAGGAGAAAAAAAAAAAAGACACATAGAAAAAAGCATAAGAAAGAACATAAGGGGATGAATAGGTAAAAGGTTCCCTCTCAAGCCTGGAGGTGGTGACTGAGGTGCTTGCTCAGGGATGGGAGGTGCAAAGGTTGTTCTGATGTTGGAGCACGTGGGCTGCAGTCCTTGCTGGCTGCTGCAGCAGCAATGGCACTGTAGTATGTGGCCAGGAAGCTGAGGGATGCCCAGCACCAAAAATAAGAGAAGTTTGTCAAAGCAGAAAAGAGCTTATTTTCCTGTGGGGAGGAAAAACCCAATGGAACAATACATGGGCTTGTTTGAAGAGGGTTTTGGGTTGACAAGGCCACTCTGTTTTAGGCTCTGCTCTCTAGTATAAGCCCACAGAGCCATTCTAGAAACCAACTATTATAAATTAAACCCCTTAACTGTGCAGTAGTGTACCAGGAAAATTATTTGCCTGTGTATGTGGTGGTGGTTTTTCACTTCCCCTGGGGAGGTAGAAATGAGCGTTGTGTAACAGCTTAGGCATTTTTCAGAGTATTACACTCTCTACAACATAAGTATGTTAAAAAAGTCTTTGGGTTTGTTTGTATTAGGACATTGTTGTAGAGCACAGAGTTAGCCCAGTAGGTAAAGTGTTCAGTCACGTAAAAACCACACAATACACTTGAATTTATCCATAGCACTTCTGCATGTTTAGCAGGGAGTCTGGTGTGGCATTACTCAGCACAGATCCTGGAGTATGTGGTGTGCAGTATCAGTAATGCCCTGTTTGTTTTGAGACCCTGTTACTGCTCCAGTAAGAATCACAGAAGTGAAATCCTGAAAGGCAGAATGCTGTCGGATTTCTCACCATCTTTTATTCTTTGCATGAGGCTCACCTGCACCTTGTTCTCCAGCTGTGCTCATGCACAGAGGAAAGGCAACAATCCCTCTCTTTAATGTCTCCCAGGTTATTCAGAATTAGTTCTCATGTCAGCAGAAAGCTCGACCGTCACAGTTCGTCTTGTGCGCTCTTTTGAGCACCGTAATTTCAGACCTGTGGTGTACCATGGCGTCCCCTTGGATCAGACAGTGAAGGAGTTCATCGCTTTTGTGCGCAAGGGTAACCTGTGCTTCTCTCGTTCGTTCACTTCAGTCCCGAGTGTTGCTGTCCCTGCACAACAAAGTGGAGGGGAGCAAATGAATGGGAATTCTGTGGCTTTGGTAGAGATGCCAAATTTGTGTCTGCATCCCCTGTGTGCTTTCCTTCCTTAGATGAAAGGTCTGGAGTTAATAAGAGCTTCCACGGTCGGTGTGCCATGCTTGAATTTGGATGCACTGCTCCTCCTGCCCAAATCCTCGTGTTTAGCCTAAAGGAAACAAGGGCATTGCTGCATTTGGCTCAGTGCCTCAGGCTCCTTGAGTGGTGCTGTCAGGCAAATATTCGTAAATTAATAGGAATAAATTAATAGAAAGTCTTTGATCCTAACTACACAAATATGTGGAATGTGGGCACACAAGTCTGTTTGCTATTTGTGAGAAAAGAGAATGTTGAAAATTTGTTTTTGATGCTGTGTGGGCTCACTGAGAATGTTTGCTTTTGAGTTTCTGTCTCCATCTTGAGCTTTGTGGTGCAGATTTACTCATCTGTGGGCTTTCTCTTTTAGAAGCCTGTTGAAAGTGACAGTGAATCTAAAAGTTAAGTACTGCAGACCAGCCCACACAGTGACTTGGTAATTAGGGTGTTACCCTTAATCCTGCAGGTGTATTTCCACACACCTCAATGGAGACATTCATAGGGTACAAAATAACATAATTTGTTTGTTTGTTTTTTTTTTGCATGAAGTCAGCTTAAACAAGTCTTGAGCTGTTATAGATTATAACATTTGAGCAACTCCTAGGACATTGCCCTGGGACTCATGGGTGCCTTGTGATTGGCAATTTCCATAGTTCTAGACAGTGATAGACATGGCAAGATCTTTGGATGCTTTTGGAAAACTGCAAGCACTTTCAGAACATATGGCACAGCTGCTCTTATGAACAAGAAAATAGAAAATAATGCTACAAAACTTGCTTTTGATGTGTGCAATATTGCTACTCATTGTTATTTGAGACAAAGCCAGTGTCTTGAATGAGACTTTTTAGAACCTTGTTCCACAGGGACCCAAAAGTCCTGTTCCTTCCTTTACTGTAATCTGTTTTGAAGAGGCAGTTTGAGATAAATTGTTAAACTATTGAAGAAATCATGGCTTCAGCCAACTTGCTGTTGGGCACCCCACAGGTGGCTGGGCTTTCTGAGGGCCTGGTTAAGTCACAGGGAGCACTGGCACTGGGAAGGTGTCAGTGTTCCTGCAGTTACATATGGGCTGTGTCCTGCAAGAAGCTAAAGAGTTAATTCTCTACAGTTTGGCTTCCTTTTCGTGGCCTGTGGCTTGTTCTCATGGCTACCGGTTCATTCAGCTCTGAATGACAGTTGTCAGCTGCTTGTACAAGGTAAAGAGAAATGCTGGGCAAGCCATTAACAGGATGTTCCTGGCAGGTTTATGGAGGCTCAGACTCTCTGTTCATAATTGCACTGTTCTAGTGGGGTGTTTTGTTCACGCTCAGATGAAATTATTCACATATGGAGTCACTATAGAATCTGAGCTAAAGGCTGTATTTGAACATTTGATGCTCAAACAAGTCTCCTATGTTGCAGATTTATTTTGATGTAAAGGCTACCCAGGGGATGCATACCTTGCACAATAATGGAAAATGAAGTATTGGAAATAATTAAAAAAAGATAACTTTGTTTTAGCTTTGTGCTTTTATTTTAATAGATGTGTCTTCAAGAACAGGACTTCCTCCTCCTTTTAAAAATTACAAGTATGGTAGGTATTTTTTATTCTTCTTGATGTAATTATGTGCTAATGACCACATAATATTTTACACTAGCATTTATACAACTTTAAAGATAACTGCTGTACAATACTAATGTTGGCACCAGTGCCTGCCTACATTTGCAACTCTATTCCAGCTGCTGTAGATGGAGTTATGCCACTGGGATCTTGTCTGCAGAACTTGACCATTATTTTGAAGATCTGTTTTAATCTTTGAATTAGGCTACATGGTTTATGTTATTTGCTACTGGGAAGTGATGGGTTTTGATATTAATTTTTTATTACTTTTATAAGTGCCTTTTAACTCTGTCTTTACCCTAATGAGCACCGTGTGATCTTGAAACACTTTGAAATTGTAGTTTTCTGTGTGCTTATGTACTTCAGTATCTATTTACTGATGGTGAAGCAGAAGCTGAAGGCAAGAAGTAGAAAATGCTTAAGACTTATATACTTAAATAGCTTACACAATAGAAGAAAAACAGGGGAACTTTGCTCCAAGTAGATATGAAAGCTTTTAAATACAAGCTGGTGGTATGAAATAGCATGTGTTGAAATTTAAGCTGACTTTATCCTCTAATATACAGCTATATGTATATTTCCTTTTTGTGCAATTGGCATGAACATGTCCAATTAATCTGTTTGGGACAGAGAAAACTTTTTAAATAGACTAAATTGCTTTCTTTCTTGGAGTTTGTAAACTCAGCTATCAGTCACATCTTTTCCTAAACTTGGCAATTCTCAAAGCTCCTTTGTGGTTTTCCTGCAAGTGATCCTCTGTCTCCCATGTTCTTGGAGTTGACAAACTCTGTCCTCTATGGTGATTCAAAGAACTGAGTGAGAAATCTACTTAATACATGTGAAGGGTAATGAAATCTATTTGTCCATTTAAAAAAAAAACAAACAAAGGATTTAATTTTATGCTCTTGCTGATGGTGAAACAGAGTGCATATTGAACTTAGAAAAAGAGTTAAAGATTGATGATACATCAGTGGCAAGGATTTGAATGTTTCTTATTATTTTTAATATGTTACTTAAGATCTTAACATTTATAAGTGTAAGTTTGAATTTGGAGGTGCCCTTCACCCTGTCTGTGGCTTTGGCTGTTTGGGGGATTCCTGTCCAGAACTGCTGCTCTCAGTTGTATCCCTGGTGCTGCCTGTCCCAGCTGCTAGCTCTTTCATCACTTGGAGATCACTTTAGCTTTTCCCAAGACATACCTGGTGACTGAGGGCCTGATTGTACCCAGCATAACTTTAGAACCTGTTGCACCAGTTACTGGGGGCCTACTCTTACTGTGATGGTGCTAACTGCAGGAAAATTTTCACACAGGAAAATCAGAGCCAGGTTCCTCACCTTCCCCTCGGGCTGTGAATCATCCAGGTTCATGTTTTTGACATCTCTGCTGTCTCTACAGTACTCTGCTGTCTTTCTCGTGTTTTTGTGAGGAAAGGGCAGTGAGACTTCTGCATGAATAGTACCAGTAAGAGCCAGACTTTTTCTCCTGTTTTGTTTGGCAGTGCCAGAAATCTCGGTTGGATCTGGTTGTCTCTCAGCTTGCCTGTTTCAGCTTCCTTCCCTGCAGAATTCAGCACCACTTTATTTTAACATCATGTACAGTGGCATCACATTTTTTCTCTTGGATTAGTGCTCCAATTCACATCTCAAAGCTTCTGACTTCCATTTTCTCTTCATTTCTTTGTATGGATTTTTCTTGTTCTTGGTCTAGAACTCTTCTGAGTCAGTTTTATCTTAGTACCTTGTCATTGCTATGTTTTCACTGATGTTGGCAGTCTGGGTAGCAACTTGTTCCACAAGCTGCTTTTCAGTTTTATTTCTTTCATCCATGACTGTGGAGCAGTATGGCAGGTAGTTCATAAAACCACTTAGAAAGTGGTATCTTATCAGTTGCCATGATAACCCTATTATCAGAAAAGGCAAGAAAAAAATTGGCAGTATGATTGAGTGGGACCAAATGGGGATGAAATAGCAAAGGCTAGTCAGAGGATTTAGCTTATGAGAAGAGACTATAGTTTCATTTCTATAACAGAGTTAAAGAAGGCATTTAATAGCTCATATGAACCCATGATAAACTGCTGGGTGCCAGTGGTGGAGTTCTGAGCAAGTGAAACTGAGACAATACTTCAGGACATGACTGTACAAAGACTAGAGAAAAGGGAACGTATCAAAGTAGGCAGAGGAGCTTAAAGCTAACAGGCACGGGGTTTATTTGCTGTAGTAGAAAGGTTTCATGATTGCAATATATTTTTTCTGTGATTGTTTGGTCTTTTTGTAATGTTTCTATGCAAGATAGAGCCTGGTAATTGCAATTTAATGTCTGTCTTGCTTCTAATACCACAGTTATTACAACATGCCAAGGCTGCTTTCTCAGTAAGCTCTGCAATGAGAATACAGAGTACTTCTGACCTTATGTAATGTTTTAAATAGTGTTGAAAATGGGCCAGAATGCTATGGAAGCAAACTTCTGAGTGGGAATGTGATCTCTGTTATTCTGAGCATCTGAATACTTGCTCCTGGTAATTTGAAAGTTGGTTTAGCCAACAGTTAACTTTGCTACATCCTTCTCTTACCAGACTATTTCAATGTGTAATGTTCACTCAATGCACAAAACTAAACTAGAACAGAAAATGAGCTGACAAGCAGAACTGGTTTTTCTTCTTTGCTGGGAAGGGATTGATGTGTTACTCCAAATTTGTTCAAAGACAGAGTCTTCAGAGTTCAGTCTATTTTTTTTTCCTGTTGCATGGCTTTAAGTCATTCCCTCTGGATCTTTGCACTTATCCAGTTGCTTCAGTGACTGTTATTTTCCCCGTTTTTCCCAGGAAAAGTCCTGCCCATGTTGCTAGAAGAAAGTGGTACTTTTTAAAAAAAAAATTCGAAAAGCACTACACTGCACAAATATAAGATAAAAAATATTGAAGAGGGTATAGCATTGAAGAGAAGAGGCTGTAGGTGTTCATGTAAAAGGAACTTGCTTAATGACATTTCTGCTGTGGATGGTGGGTGCTGTATTTATGAGAAGGGAAATTTCAAGGGATGATCTGAAGTGATCAGGTTACTGTGTCTTAATCACTTGCTGCCTATCAACTTAGCTGTAGCTGTTGACAGTGCATAAATGCTGTTGGTCCTGCCCCAATTGCATGTCTAAAACCTATTAAGTTAAAACACCCTAAGTGGCATTTAAATTGATGTGTTTTGACTGGCAATTGAGATGGTCATTAGTTGGTTATTGTAATTCAGCCAGCAGACAGGAGCCCAATAGGATGTGGTGCCTTAATGTTGCATTGACTGCTTTAAGACTGTGGCCGCAGGACTGTGAGATTAAGATGTTTTCTCCTCTTTCTGGTTGAATACACAAAATTGTTAATAACAAAAGATTTTGAAGCTTCCCCCTTTGTTTGTTTGTCTTTCCCCAAGTACAACTTTCAATGTTGTCTGCTTTTTAAGCCTTATTTTAGGAAAACACTGTTTTTTCTTTCAGATACAATGAAGATTATTCACCAAGCACACAAATCTAAGGTAAGATTATTAGCTGTGTTCTTCCCCTTTTGCATGCTTTGATGCAGGCAGATCTCTGCACTGTCAAACAAGACTGGAGAAGAGGAAATCAGTAAATTCCTCTTATCTTTGTACTCTGGTTCTCTGATTTGTAGACCGGTGAACTTGTAGTGAGTTTGGAAGATGATGACAAACTGATTTTGAAGGAAGACAGCACGCTGAAAGCAGCTGGAGTAGGTAGGAGTACATTTGTATTGACTGAAGATGCTGTTCCTTGTGGTGGTAGCATTAAACTGATAACTGGCTGATTATGTTTGGACAGGCTGCTGAAAAGTAAATGCTATTTCTGATGCTCTTTACACGACTTGATAATTATTCAGGGAAGCATTATTCAAATCATTGGTCTGAGGGCAGCAGGTATCTGCACTCCAAATGTTCAGAATGCAAATTGTGATTTTTAGAGGGTATGCTTATAATTCTGCTGAGAGTAATTTTAAATGATTGACAGATAGGTTATTAGTACCGTGTCTGCTTAGTCTTATCAGTAACATTTAAACTGATGTTTTGGTTAGAAATGTAAGTAGTGGAACCAGCATGGAATAATGAAATAAGATTAGATTTGTTTAATGTGCAGCATACAGTGCTGCCTGATAGCCAGATTGCTCAGGAAAGCTCGAGCAGTATCATTTAGAGAATGTGCTGAACATAGCAAAGAGTTGAAACTTGACCTGATTTCTCACATTTTGACAGGAGACTACATATAGGGCATGTCTTTTGGTAATAATGTAAAGAAATGTCTGTCATGATAAAATTGATGGTCCCTGGATGTCCTTTGGGCTCCTCATAAATGTGGCTGAATGACTTTGTGGCAGCAGGGTACTTAAGGGATGTGGTTGCATTCCACCTTGATATGGACAGTTTGCTCATTTGAATCTGATTTGCCTGGCTGGAAAGCTTTAACTGCCTCTGCTCTAAGTGCAGGGGCTTCACAGAGGAGGCTCCCTCCTGCTCCTGGTGCTCACTGATTGCTCCCCAGCTACTGAATGGGATTTCTTTCTCGTAGGTTACTTGGCTCTCCTGATTCCTGCGATTTATTTTCTGGTTTTAAGTGACTTGGGATGTCACTTCAGTGTTTTCCTCTGGTGTGAACTACAACTGGTCCCAATATACCTTTCTTAAAGGTCTTTGAGTGTTCCTGTAATATGAATCAGAGTTTTTACTACACCAAGTCTTTTTGTCTGTGGAGGGGGGGGGAAACAAAAGTGAGGATTACTGGCATCCAAGCCTTACAGATTTGTAATTTAGCTAGCAGAAGATTAGTTTAACTATGATGTTTATCTGTGTAAAGCATAAGAGGCAGTGCAGTTCAGGAGAGAGGCTTATGATAGTGCCAAATGTTGAATTAGAAATAACAAAGCTGTCTTCTTTCAAACAGTTATGGATAAGTATTTGTATATTTTTATCCGTCTTTGAAACTGGGTTTGTAGCAGTGAAGCAGTTGGATGTGATCTCAAAAAAGGTGTCAAAACATCAGACTAAATGTTACAGTGAAAGGAAATGGGAATGCAGAAGCCTGTTCTGTGTTTCTGTACAAAGGGAGGGGTGACTCATTTAGGGCAGAAAATTATTTAAAGTTCCTTTTTTTTTCTTATTTTTTCTGAATAACAGCAATTACTAGTCATTAGTATATAGAGCATATTTGTGATAGAAGAGAAAAGCCCATTCTTTGGAAAATGTGATATGCCATTATCTCATTTTTAATTTGGTAATGTTCCAGTGTGTTGATGTGAAAATTAGCTAAGTTAGGAGTGGGGTCTTGGTAGTAAAATATTGAAGATTTTACTTTTCTCCTTCAACAAGAAGTAGAAAAGAGTAAGCCAAGGAAGTGATATAATGTATCATGTACCACTGGTCCTCATTTTGTACAAGATTTATAATTTTGTACATTTTCTTTAAATCAGTAAGAAAATTTGAAATCTCCTACTGAGATACGAAATTTTCCCAACATTTAGTCTGGACAAGACTTACTAGAATAAAACAATCAGAATCACTGCTCGAAAATCTGGGAAATTCTGATACATGCAGAACATTTTTCCTAAGCTGCAGTTGATTGCCCTTGGCACTATACAGGGTTGGGCTAGAGAGTTATAAATTATGAGGACATTAGATAAGTATCCTCAGGAAAGCCTCTGTAGTAGTGATTATTATTACAGTTATTATCCAGTCAGCAAAGTTAATGCTTGCATTAGTTTTTTTTTAAAGCAGGGTGTATGTTAATAAAGTGTTCAGTATTCATTACAAATAGTCTTGTCTGTTTTCTAGCTGAGATTCTAAAATCCCTTCTACCCTTTTTTTTTCTTTTTTTTTTACAAGACAGGCAGACTTCATTAACTTGAGGTTTAATTTAAAAAACGAATGTGGAATTTATTGGCTCAGCACCTTAAAGAATTCCATGTTTAATAATTGTGAAGGCATTCCATCAGATTTGTCTCTGTTCTGAATTAGTAATGTTGCTGACTTATTGTTTTAGAAGAGGAAGTCCTTGACCTACTGGGTTGAAAGAATTGTGACTGTTCTGAACCTTTGTGGGTCCTTTAGCTCTGCCATATCCCCTGTGAATAATTAGAGGTATTTGAAGGTATTGCTGGAGAAGCCAATTTGTGTCTTTCACTTTGCATATTGTCGAAGCCTCATGAATTAATCATCAGCAGGGCAAAAAATTAACTTCTTCAGACACATATTTTGATGGGTCATGAGGGAGAATGTAAAGTGATCTGTAAAATATTCTACTGATCCTCTAAGTATTAAATTATTATACCTACAGGCTAATTTAATGGAAAAAAGAAGTTTCTTTCTCCCTTTCCTAACAGAAAAATGCACAAAAAAAGGACTGTATCATGCTTCATTACTTAACTAGCATTTGAAGGTGTTAGAAATGCAATCACTTAATTTGCTGAATGCTTATACAAACAATTCTGAAGACTATGTTAAACAAATCTTGAGGGGTCTTGTGTACATATTTAATTCTATACATTCATGTTCTTGGCAGTTTTGTGTGTTTGGGGCATTTTTTAATGAGGTTAAATGACATCTTTAATACTGGCAACCTTTTTCAAAAATATGACAAGGAAAAAAACAAACATGTGGTGATTTTCTAAAATTGTCTTTGACCACAAATCTGCTAATTGTCTTCTAAGATTCTAAATAGCTGGCTGTTGGTGGTTCATTTACTGGTGTGCTAAATATTTAATTTTTTATTCATTCTAGCAAATGAGACGGAATTAGCATTCTTCTGTGAGGAAGATTACAGAAACTACAGAGCTAATCCTGTTTCGGCCTGGTGAAGATCCCAAGAGATTGTTTTGTTTTCCCATACCTGTTGTAAATTTTCCTTATTCTGCTTAATGAGATTTTTCTTAAAGATCAATAAATCCTAGAGGATTTCTTTGCAAACAGTGCAATTCCCTTCCTATAGAAATTAATTTCTGTCAATATGCTGAGGCTGAGAGAAGAAAAACTGGGGGACATAAATGACTTTTTTCTTCCTCCCTTTTCTTTTTGCTGTGCTTGGCTCTTGAGCCTCAGGCAGTGCCATCCCTGACCCGTGACACGTTCTTGGTGTGATCCCACAGCAGACAGTTACTGCATATGGAAATTATAGAATGCACAGGATGATCCCATCACAGTACTAACTTCTAATGAAAATGAAGTGAAACCTCCTTCAAATGAAATGAAATGTTTTATGACCAAATCACTGGGTATTTTAAAGAACTTGAGAAGAGAATCTCTCTGTTTCAAGTCACAGCTTTACTTCTCTCATTTTATGTTTGGTCTCTTTTGTTTGAATAGTGCAGACTGGCCAGTGTTTCATGCTTTTCAGTGGTGAATGCTTTCCATTATCCTCTCTTCCAGCCCTCTTTAGCATGCTGAAAGGGACAAATGTCTGTTGGGAGGCTTTTGTGTCCAAGGACCAGCTCGCCTGTTTGTAGCTTTACTTCATGGAGACACCTTCACACAGGGGTAGCAGCTCGAGTTCTGCCAGGATGTCAGTGTGCCTAAGTAGGAATTGGGCATTTTTCCAAGTGGAGTGAAAGCTCATGGTTTCAGTTTTAAGAATAAAACCTGAATGATTGCATTTTTTGCGAGGAGAGGCCCAGTCTGTGAGCCACATGCCTTCAAGACTGGAATTGATTCCTTTATGCTTTCCATGAGTCAAATACTCTGTTGCTATGTGTTTGTTCTTGGTAATGCTGGGCTTTCCTACTACATGAACCAAATTAAGAATAATAGAAAATAATCATGTATCCAATAAAGTACCTTTAGGTAGAGATTACTTATGAAGTGCTCTTTAGGGGGTACCAACATGGGAAACTGTGCCTTTAAGCCTCCCTTCACTCAAATAGGAATGATGCTGGCTCTCTGCCTTAGCAGGCTTTTTGGGCATGGGCTCTGCTAAATTGAATGAGAGCTTATGTGCAATTGCTTTAGACCTACACATCTACACTGAGCTCTGGGTGAGAGCTGACAATGCTATATCCATGACACTTTATGGAGGAGTAACCCTACCATTTCCTAGAGCTTTGATTATTGTTTTTACTGTCATGTGTGGTTTCCAAAGTCCCCAAGTAAAATTTCCCTTTATTTTAGATGTAGGGCCAAAGAACCGTCTGTGTATTCATCCCACCTAATTTTCCTCATCTTTCCTGAGAACTCTCTGGTTTAGGCTGTTTTACTCACCAACAGCTTTGCTTCAGAGTTTTATTCTCTAGTGAAAGAACTCTACCGCTTTCTCAACTGTGATTAAAATATTGTATCTTTGTCTTGTAAGGAGGAAGTCACTGAAGTCACCTGTGTTCTCCCAGGATGTAGGTGCCATTATGCATGCCCTGATGAATTTAAGAGGAGAATTTACCTCTTGCTTCTCCTTCTGTCCAGGCAGCCTCTCTGTTGATGCTACCTGCTCCCCAAACATGGCCCCATGTTCAGCTGCCTTCTTAGAGAGTCTGTCATGTTTGCAGATTTATGTGGTTAGTACAAGTTTGTGCTCATCTTCTCAGACAGTTCGAGCTGATGCATTGCACTCCAGACTATCTCATCTTTGTTCAGCCAAATTTATAATAATGGAGGTAACTTTGTAAGAACAGACAGTGTGCCAGAGACATCAGTGTCAGGCTGGCCTGCCAGGGCATCTAAATGGTGTCTGTCACCACATGCAGGCTCTCAGACTGAGCAAGCACTTCCATTCTTTTCCTCCTGTTCTAGGGATTTGAATTTGGTTTCCAGCCCTTTCAGACAGATTTTGTGACCCCTTTTCTCTAAAGCATTTGTGTTTGAAAGATTCACCACATTTTAACAATTGACTTTTCTGGGCTTGTGAAGTTCCAAACTTGCAGTGTCACATGAAGTGTGGTACAATGGAAGAGCAATTCTACAGTATCCTTGAGAAAAATGGTAAATGTTCAAGATATTCAAGAATGATGTGATTGGCACTCCAGATTAACTTCTCTTTCCAAGGGAAGAGTTAAACTGCTTTGTGAGCTCTGTTCACTCTGGCAATGGCACTTCATTGGCTTCTTTCTCCAGCAGCACAGTGGAGCCTTTTGTAATGCCCTCAATGGCCATACTTGTAAACTGGTTTCTTCCTGAAGTGTTTTTCTACTGTGGTTGTTGCTTTTTCTGGATTGTTTTTGGTTTGTTTTTTTGTTGTTTTTTTTTTTTTAATGGAACTTACAGTAATGCTTCTTTCAAGTAAACCTCACAAAACTACAGATAATAACTGAAAACTTGCTAGGAAAGATGCTGTTCCAACATTTCTTTGGTGGGATATGGTACAGCCTTGTATCAAAGTAGGTTTGATTCCAGAATTGTTGAGTACTGAACGAAATCTCTGAATAGTGGCTAAGAAATTAGTAAAGACTGAGATGTCTGTCTGAGATGGTGTTTTGAAATCCTCTTTCTGTTGAAGGAAATCACAAAGCTGGTACTATGGTTTGTTATCCTGGCAGAAATCATGAACTGCATTGGTTTACAGCTGCTTTTAATCAAAGGTGTAGTGGGGAGACTCATACAGCTTTGCCAGTGGTCTTAGGCATTGTGGGATAAATAAGGATTTGTGTTACAGTGGGATGTTCTTGGAACCATTCACCATGTTTTTGTTAAACAAAAGAACTCTGAAATAAAATAAAATTTATCCTGTGTTATAACACTGTAGCAGGAAAAGACATTCAAACTGGAACCCTGGGGTGGTGTGTCAGGCTTGGCTGTCTCTTGGAGAAAAAAATCCCTTCAGAGAGACTGGAGTTTTGACTGGGAGGTGTGAAAGCATTGCTACTGAAGAATAGAGGAAATTTGGAAAGGAATTATCATAAATAGGAGGAAGAGGTAACAGTGTAATTGAATAAACAGAAAAATCTGCATGTGCAACACTCCTGGTGCAGAGATACCAGACCAGTGCTGCTTTCTATAGAACTAAAGGTATACAAATGGTGCTTTATCATAATTTTGGAATTGAATTAATGATCTGCTTCAATAGGCATCTTGTTTTTTCTGGCTTTGTCTCATTATATTTTCTGCATCCAACAGTTTTAGTTATTTTTCTGCCCAGAGGTTGTTGCCTTTTGAAGAAGGAAGAGTTAAGAAAATTTCAATCTGCTGACATGGACAGCTGAGTTGACCAGTGGCATAAAGGAGAACTCAAAATCTGTTAATCACCACTTCTACAGTTAACTGCTTTATCTGATATAAACATTGTGACCTAAAGGTGATCCAGAAATATATTGTAAGTTGTGGTGTTTCTCTTTCACTCCCTGTCAGTATTTAACATCCCCTAATAGATCACTTATTTAAAAATGAGCCTGCAAGTAGCAGTCCAAGACTTCCCAAAGCCATGACAGGACATTCATGGGCCCTGTCCTTGGAAGCTCATAGCCACAGAAATCCTGAGTGTCCAAAGATCAGGAAGCTAAAACCAGAGCACAGGATACTCATTCGTGGTCTCCTGTGACTGACAGGATCCCAGATACAGAGCAGGGCAGATGACTGGAGGCCTTACAAATGCTGAAGGCAAATGCACACTTTTGTTTATTGAACAGCTTGGACTGAGCTCAGGCTTCCCGGTTGGGTTTAAAACCACTACACACCTGCTCCCCTTTCCATCGTTTCCTTGCCATAGGACTACTTGGCACAAATTTGCAAGTGATTAATGAGTCAAGAAACACCCAGTATACAACTTTTGTTGCTTTTCATTTTATCAGGATATTGAGTTTTCTCTACTCTCCATCTCCTATTGAGTCAGAGAAACAGACACAGCTTCAAACATTTCCCCAACCACTTCCCTTTGCTTGTTGCCACTTCTGCTGATTTGCAATGCTTTAATGGTGAGGTTTGCACCTCATCTGATATGCAATAGTAGCATTTCCTGTGACATTACATCCTGTGAATGTACACCTTTTAAAATTTGTGCATGAAAAAATATGCTTTGAAATGGAGACTCTTTCTACACTGTAACTGATAGTGTACAACAAAAGCTCTTTCCTTGCTTTGCAGGAAGACTTGCACAGGACAGCACTGTCCACTGGTCAGTGGAAACAAAAATGTTTTTAGCATAATGCTTTGTATCTTGTAAGGAAATGAAGGAGTTACATCAGGAATAAAAAAATAAAATAATAATAAAAAAAAAAGGCAGTGAAAAGCCAAGACCTATTGCCATGAACTCGTTTCCTGCAGAGAAAGCCACCAGATGTCAGCACAGCCTGTTCTTTGCTTCTCCAGAACCTCTGTAAGCCAAGAGATGTGTCATATTTATGAAAAGTGCTTAGCTGTGAACTGGTTTAGCCTGTGAAATCCGTGCTAGGGTTCTGGTGATGAAAGCTGAGCCTTTCCTTGCAGAAAGTATTTCTTTTTATATTAAAATCAAAAAGCGGCAAGTCGAACTGGTTTCAGTGCCTAAATTCCTCTTGTTAGAAAGCATCCTTTGTGGAGCCAGTTCCCAGCGTATCTAAATCTTTGCATGCTGGGAGGAGGCATTTGCAGAACATTCATTTGAAGAACTGTCTGGAAAAGATCAGTTTTAATTTGCTGAGGTTTTGTAAAGTAGATTTTAAGTATGCCTATTTCTTTTAAACACAAAGAAAACCATCTGGAACAGATGCACATGCAAAGCAGAGCAAAACATCTTCAGTAACACAGCTTAAACACACAACAAATGTATCCTCCATGCTTCTGACCCCAAGCTCCCACTATTTCCTCCTTGTAGTGCAAGGGCTAAGGAGGACCTGGTGCTACATTCTCTGGGCTGTGCTTTCTGAGCTGGGATGAGCTGAGGTGGGATATGAGTTTCAGAGCCCAAATCCAAGCACTGTGCACAGCTTTATGCTGTCAGTGATTAGAGCATGCATAGATGCTGCCTAGTTAAAAGGCTAAATTTGAATTTTTGCACAGGGACAAGGTGTGACAACTTTCTGCTCAGATTCACATCACTTTTCTTGCAGCAGCTTGCAGGTGCCAGGGAGGTGTCGAAGAGAGGGAAGTTAAAGTGGCAGGTAGTGCCTGGGTGATGTAAATATTCTTTCCTCCTGTTTTGGGCTGCTTGTTTAGTTCCTTTCTTTTAGCCTCATCACACTGGTGTAGTGTAAGGGGATTGCCACAGCTTGCTGTGTATAGGAACTGCTTCTCAATGCCAAACTCTCTCTAGAACCCTCGAACACTGTTCACACTCTGGAGGTGATACAAGAGAAATTGCAGCTGTGCAGTCCTGGGCAGGGGAAGACTGTGGTGTGCAGGGGTGCAGCCAGTGTGGTGTGCAGGTTGGTTGGGAAGTGTTCTTGCTTCTGTCCCTTCTGCACAGCACCAGTTCTGCTTTGCTGAGGACCAGAACCTTGTCTGTAAACTTGGGCATGCACGGCAGGTAGATGAGAGGAGAGGTGGGTGTTTAGGGTGGTGATGCAGTGGGGGAGAGGATGGGGGTTTTATGTCCCTGTAGATGAGCTATTTTTGATCAGATATGCATTGTAACTTCTGTTTGTTATCATCCTCTCCCTCTGATAGCAATAGATTCATTCCTTTCTAGTGGGACAGAAGCAGCTAGCCAGAGGAGAGGGAGTTTCTGTTGGTAGTGATTACATTAAAGGGCTCAGTGTGACAGATTAACATAAGAATTTACCTTTGTCTGTCCATTCCTGCTGTCTGGCAGGTGACTTACAGTGTTGTGTACCAGAAATGTCAGTGAGTACTGTAAGAACTGCTGCTGTCTGCTCTCATTCCACACCTGAGAAGGTTTAATTCTACTTTCTAACCTAAAACCCATGGAACATATTCTTTAAGAACAGTCTGGGAAGCCCTTTTTCTTCAGTGAACCGGGATTTTTAAAATGGAAGGCATGGTGTTGGTCTGATTTCAACAGTACTTTGAAGTCACATCTTTGCCTCTCTGCTTGTATTTGGGTGTTGGTCACTCCCTTCAAGTTACCAGTGACAGGACAAGAGGAAATGTCCTCAAGTTGTGCCAGAAGAGATTTAGATTGGATATTTGGAAAGATTTATTCACCAAAAGGGCCGTGAAGCATTGGAACAGGCTGCCTTGGGAAATGGAGTCACCAGCCCTGGCGGGATTTACAAGACTTGCAGATGTGGCACTTGGGGACATGGTTGAGTGATGATGGGCTTGGCAGTGCATTGAGAGTTGGACTCAATGATCTTAAAGGTATTTTTCTGTGCTTCTGTGATTATGTCCATCCAATTGGAGGACATCAGCTGGCTTTAGAGTCAAAGAGCAGTCTAGCCATGATACCTTTATATCTCAGCAGTTACCATAATGTCCACCTCTTCACAACTATCCCCCTGCCCTATCCCTCCCAAATCAAACACAACAGATTTTGTAGAACACAGACTTGAATCTTGCACAGCAACTTTGTTTTCTAAAGTGCTGAATGAGACAGCTACTTGAAAGCAGACATCTGACTGCAGACAGCTCTTTAAGGCAGCAGCTGAAGGTAGCTAATTGCAGATCAGATATGGGAAACAGGTAACAAGAGTAACTAACCAGCTCAACAGCAGCTGTAGTGCATCCTCCAGTGTTGAGATTTTTAAATCTAAAGCAGATTATCTTTCTAGGAGAATGCACTCGTGCCACTAAGTCTTTGAAAGGTTTCAGTAATACTGCGGCTTCTGATACGTGATCCTCCTGACTGGCCCCAGACAATGCTTATTTTTAGTCTTTGATTATGAATGTCCTGTACATGCTCTGCTAATAAGAACTGTCCCTAATCATAGATGGTATCTGTGTATTCTGTGCTCAGCTTTAAAATGTGCGTGGTTCTCACATACACAAAAAAAACCCTTGTGCAGAAATTCTGCAAAACTGATGCTGCTTATTAAGGCACAACAAATAGATAAAAGAAAACTGTCCTAGTGTAACAAATCTTGTTCCTCAAACCCAAGGCACAGTCTGAAAATCCTACTAGCTCAGTGTGTGAAATTTAGACCTGAAGAGTAACACCAGTTTTGTTGCTGATTGTAGCTGTGCTGGCCTTATTGGAGAGACTGGGGGAACTACACAGCACAGAGTGCTGAAGCAAATGCATCCCCCTAAAGATTTAACTATAGTTTGATATATCACTTTGTGAGTAAATCCCTTAAGAGCAAGAAACCAATTGCACCATTTAAAGCCTTGTATTATAAAACTGAAAGAGGAGAGAACTGTACCTGCAGAGGTTAATCTTCAGCTCAGGAATTTAAATGAACTCATTAAAATCAACTCACAAATTAGCTCATTAAAATGCAATGCTGTGGATCCAGAAGTTGGTTGATCTGGCATGCCACTTCTACAAAAAAGTGACTTAAGAAGCAGAGAACAAATTTATAGTATTAAAACTCCATCTTTCTTTGCGGTCCCCCATCTGGAACTTCTTCTTCCTTGAACTCTGTATCAACAGCACTTTCTGTTTAATGAATTAATCTTGTTTGATCCTGTGCTACAAGTGCTGTGTAGTATCAGTAGCCCCCTCTAATGAAATATATGCCTGTACACACTTGTGCCCTCTCACACACACAGGAACTCTGTAATTGAGCCCTGGCACCGTGGGTCACAGCAATGATCATTTTATTACCTTGATAATGAGATTCTACACGCTGCTGGCTGTAGTGGGTTTTATTTCTTATTGGTTAAATTCTACATAATCACACTCCTCTACTACTGCCATTAAAGTAATGGTTTTGTTTGGGGGGAGGCAGGAGAAAGGACTCACACGAGTTCTGATATAATTGTGTAGACTTGTTCAGAATATCTTTATATAATTACATAGGCCAGTGATTAAAACTGGCCTTAGTCTTACAGCTTCTCATTTGGTTCTTACATATCCCAGAGGCACATAGTAGGCAGTACAGAAAATAAAAATACAAAGATTTTTACATTCAAGCTATATATTCTGCAATAAGATACATATATTTGTGTGTGTGTGTGTGTGTACATATATACAGAGAGAGAGAGAAAAGCTTCAAGTACAAAACCAATTAAATGGTAAATTTTAGCCAGTCTCACTGGATGTCCCATGCATATCAAAAACGTTTAGGGAAAAGATAATTGAAAAATTCCTTAGTTTCATTTTCAGCATTTCAGAATCAGAAGAAATGACTCAAACTTTTGTGTCACATGTCTTAAGGACTAGATGCATACAGAGGGCATCATGTGAAATGCTGCTCTGCATTTATAAGAATTGGTTTTGGTTTTCAAAAGGGATGGTGGCTGGCTGGCCAGTCTGCTGGCACAGGCATTACCTGGAGACACTTGACAAGCTGTTTTTTTAGATGCTGGAGAGCTGCAGTAACTGTGGGGATTTTGAGCTGGCTTGTCTGTCCCTTAGGGCTTGTGTCCATCTGAAAAGCACCATGCTGACTCACTGACTCCCCTTCTGCTCATGGAAACTGTCCCTTTGCCATGGGAAAGGGCTTGCAGGCATGGAAGCCATGTAAACAAAGCGAGGGTGCAAACCTTCTGCTGGGCAGAAAGCTGAGTCTTTAACCTTGCAGCGACTCAAAAGAAACCATTCTTTCTCCCTTGAAGACAAATTCTGCCAGCCTGTGAAATGCTCTTTCCCTGCCTCCTAATCTTTTTTGGCCGGCAGACAGCAGTCTTGCCTGACCTAAAGATGTGGAAAGAAACCTAGATGGCAAAAAAAAGGCACTGAAATACACCATACAGTGTGTAAACTGGTGCTTTTATGTTGTCTTTGCCTGATGATGAAATGGAAAAGATGACTAAAAAACCAGGCTTGCTGAATCCAGTCTTCCCTCAAGAATGAGTTAAACTGGAGTGGGTGAAATTATATTCAGGTGAAACTGTCTCAAATCAATATGGAAACTTAACCTGTCACCTAACCAGAAATAAATAGGGTTGGGTCATCAGTCTGCTTGGAGAGTGATTTGGTCAGGTACCAATGTGGGCTAAGTTCTGGAGGTGGATGGGGAAACCTAATAAACTCAGCTTGCTGAGGGGGACAGTGGTAAAGAATGGTACCTTCATCATGTTGTCCAAACCCCATCAAAACAACAAGAAAAAAATCACCTGATTATGAAATCTAGGCTTTCCCCTCAAGCCAGTTTATTCAGTAAAAAGAAGCAGCATTTAGAGACTTTACTGTAAGTGTTAGGCAAGAACTAACACTCAATATCGTCACTGGCCACATGAGCAATATTTGGAGAGCATTACTCACTGTAGTTACTCGAGGCTAAACAGGGAATTCTTGTGAGTCTCTGTCTGTGTAGAACTCTTCCAGGTTATGGAAGCATTGGCTTGTAGAAGGGCTTATGTGCCCCAAAGCTAATAATTCCCCCTGCCCTTTATATTAAAAGTATAACATCCAGTAACATGTACCTCCTTTGGTGCTGACAGCTCTTGTTTCTCAAAGCAATACTGAACACTGAGTGTCTTTTCCTTAACTGTAGGAAAATGAGGCTATTCCAAGCATGTCCTTGTACTTGACCTTACTGAGGTAGTCTTCTTGTGTCATCCCTATCGCTTGCTTTTAATGAGCTTTAGTGAATGGCTGTCCATTCACTGTTTGGTGATTTGGATGTCCAAAACATAAAGAATTGTTCTGACAAAGAGCAAGAACCTCACAGAAAGTGACAGGTGAAACATGAAATTAGGATAGAAATCTTCTTTGCCCTGTGCCTTGTCCACAGTGGGTGTGAAGCCAGAAGAGCATTTCATACCTGCTCTGTGATCTAGCAAGTGACTTTTCAACGTGTGAGGCAATGAAGCTTCACCATATTATTTGGTGTAAGGCCAGCCGGAAGGCCTTGGTTTTCTCCATGTAATTTTGTGAAGCAGCAGGCATTTCCAATAATTATCCTCGCTCTATTTCAATCAAACACTGCTTGAAACTTTGGCTCAGTATAACAGAGAGCATGCAGCAGTAACTATCATCTCAGAGCCAGCAGTGCAGACCAGACGTCTGGTATTGGGGATGTCTCTCAAATGCTTTTATACTGCTGGAAAAGGTGCTTTATTTCCTCAGCTTATAAACATGCATCAGACACTGCTTTCAGGACCAGAAGTGCTGTCTGTATTTGAGAGAACAGGGATACTGGGCTTGCTGTCAGATTTGATGATTTTAGTAAAATCTGCTGTCACAATAACTTAAATATAGCTGTTCTGACTCCACAGAGTTCATTGAGGAGAACAAAACCAGAGGCAATAGATCTTTCTAAACCTCACTGCCTTGACTGATCCATACACTTAAGAGGCAAAGATACCTATCTTTGCTGTCATAAAGTCCAAAAAAATCTGTGCAACCTCATATTAAAAAAAAAAAGGCATTGAAATTTATGAGAGCAGCTAGGAAAGCAACTGAGAAGTACTGTTTTGGGGAGCTGCCAGCCAGCACCTCAAGTGACTGATCTGACCAACAGAGTCCATCAGTTTCCCATGTATATTAGTGCTGCTATCTTGGCTCTCAATCATTTTTAAGGCAATAATTGTCCTAGCAAATCAGCAATATAATTTAACTACTACTGTCTAACCTAGTTTGGTGGTTGTCCATTTTCTAAAGTCACCAAGTTTTATTATTTTATCCACAATACCATTATACCAAAACATACACATATTTAAGAAAGAGAAACACCTTTATAGAAACGGTGATAGTGCTCCAAAATCCTCAAAGCTGGGGCTGTTAAACATTACTGGAGGTCTCCCCGCTTGAAAATTCCCCCGTTGCGCTGGGCAGAACAAATTTGACGTATCTGCCCTTCTCCCAGCCCCTCCTGATTCGCAGAAGTCTGTGGTGGATGCAGGGCAAACTGAAGATGATTTTAGCTATGATCACAGTGCATGGGACAAGCAGTGTGAGGGTGTAGGTTGGGGGCAGGTAGAATTTGTACTGATTCTCATCGAAGGCCCTCGACCAGCCGTAGGTGAGTGTGTGCAGAGTGCTGATCACCAAGGCAATAAATCCAAGGGAGGACTAAAAAGAAAAGAAACACACACCAGTTAGCAGAGTACCTTGTGCCTGGCTGTCTTCCTGTATTTTTGACATTATTTTCTAAGTGTACACGACACAGAGAAAGCAATGGATATTCCTGCCTTTCCTGGACAGAATAAAACATGGCTGGAAATCTTTCCTGGGTCCTGTGCCAGGCTGCATCTTTCTTTGTCTAATCAGAGGTTAAGTAGGACATTAGAAGCTCAGCAGGAATTTCCCAGAAGGTGATGCCAACTCAGCAGAGAGGGGGGCTTCTGCATCTGGGAAGCAGCAGCCCCCAGCCCCTGCTGAGCAGGTGGGAACAGGCAGCTCCCACGGGCTCCTCCCGAGCTGCCAGCTCTGCTCCTGCCAGTCCCTGTCTGGCTGAGGCTTCTGACCAGCAGGATGAAGAGCAGTGATGTGGCTCTGGACTACAGCTGGCACTGCTGGAAGTGGGTAAAGCCACAGCTCCACACTCTCAAAGACATCTTCAGGTGACTGGTGTCATCTACAGGAAAACGAGATTGTGCAGGCAGAAGTGCTCTGTTCTTGAGGTGAGCAACAGCCCTCAAGGGTTTCCTCCTCTGTCTTAGAGATCTGTGCTAGGTTTAAAGGCTGTGTGATAGATTAAGCCCTTGGAACAGGGAGTCAAGAACTCTTTATCCACTCAGGGAGGCAGCAAGAATGCAGCCCCTGTTCTACAGGCAAGAACTTTCCCCATTTTCAGCTGAGATCATGCTCCCAAGGACCCACAGAGACATCTCCTCTTGACTATTGCCAGCTCCCTCTGACGGTTGCTCTCAAAGGTAGGTTTAAAACTGTTTCCCTCACTGATGGCTTTCTGCCAGCATCAGAAGTGGAGGCTTCTGAGCTTGCCAGCTCCTACTGCCTGCTGGCACTCATCAGCCCTGGGCACTCTGTGTTTGCCTTTGCACAAGCCTTTGTGCTGTGTTTTTAGAGAAAAGTGCAGGTTTCAGAGAGAAGCGCACCTTGCTCTGCTGCCCTACTTTGAATGCTTGGTCTAAGCCTGAAATAACAACCAAATTTCAAGATGCTTAGACAGGGAAAATTTTTCTGCTTATGGCCCTAACTTAAGGAGGAAAGCCTTTAAAAGCCAAAATATCTGTTTTGGTGCAGAGATCAGCAAGAAACATGGTCTTCCTGAATATGCCAAGGAAAAAGGATGTGGCAGGGAAATAAGGATCCAGGGTAAGATGGGAGGTAGGACTCATAATCTTTTGAAGAAACAGTTTCAGCTCAATTCATAGCTCCCTCTGCTATTTTTGATTGCTGAGAAACAATGAAAAAACCGAGACAACTTTTAAAAATGTACTATGTTGTTATGAAAGAAACAGACCAAGACTCCTCTAAACTTCAGAGCTAATCTTTTAAGCTGCTGAGGGGACTGGGCAAGGGAGGGAAGGAGAGCTCTGAAGTGTGCTGCCAGATCTTGTACTTCACTTTTACAGTATCTATCAGGCATGTGGGTGTCACTGAGTCCTGCCAAGGCAGGGAAGAACTCTTTGTGTTACAGCTGAGCATTACTCAAGGTCATGCCAGGAGTTGGGAACAGAGCTGGGAACTGAACCTCAGTCTTGTGTGCAACCCCACACTTATCCTTTCTTTCAGGCACAGATGTCCTTACCAGAAGCTGTGTCCATGTCCTAAACCAAAGTGGTAACAAGCAGTAAATCCAACAACATCAAGAACAGCTGCATTTGAAAAATTAAGGAGGAGTTTGCTGAAATATGCTGTGGTCACAGTTGAACATAACAACAGGACCTGACCTGCAGATCATCCATCATTTACAGGTTAAGATTCTCTGCAACAGGCAAAAAATAGCCAGGGAAAAAGTGGCAAAAAGTTTGAAGTACCAGATTAGGACTCATCTGGCAAAGCAGGGAAGGAAAAGGGGACAAAGTGAATCCAAGAGCAGATGTTTTCTGTCCTGGGCAGGGAGTGCATTCACAGTCAGCCTGAGCAGGGCCCTGTGCTTGGCAGAGATGTCAGAGCTGGAGATAATTACCTTGTTCCTCTACAGTTTCTCTTTAAACAGCTGCTGGTACTGGGGGATAGCAGGAGAGAAAATTAATAGGACAAAAGGTGACAAACAATCACTGACTGACCCACCTTTGTGTGTGGATGGTGGGCATGAAACAAAAAGGCTAATTGGCAACAAATACATGGCAACAAACACATGGCAAAGCTACTGGTGGCTGGAGAGAGGGCTGGCAGCTCCTCTGACAGCAGCAATAGGCTGATCCCTTTTTAACACAAAGGAGAAGCTGACTGAGGCAAGCAGAGGAGGGTCCCAGTGCTGATGCTGGCTGAAGGAGTCATGGCTGCATCCACCAGACAGCAGGATACAGGCAGGTCTGTAAGTGCACAAAACCCAAAAGTTTTGCAGATTGCAGCTTGGCTCAGTATTTACAGCTCAGCATATACACTCAGTGTAGTACAATGCAGAGCCTGCTGAGCACCCCAGGGAGCCGATTTGCCAATGTGCTTAGCCCTGATACCACTCTTTTGCTCTCATTGATCCTCTCTATGCAGTTTCTGGCTATGAAATCTTCCTGGGTTTTGTTTTAAACAGCAGCAGAGTTTTTTTTTTGTACTGTCACAACACGGGGAGTGTGGGGCCAGCAGCCATGTAGGGTGTTAAAGTTCCCTGAAAGATGCTGTATGAAGATGGTATCTTCCTGATGCAGGCTTTGTGAGCATTTTCTATTCTGCATTAACTCTTCTACCTCCCCCATCTTCTTGGTGCCTGCAGGCTCCCTGTAATGCATCAGCAAAGGTGATCCAGTCACATGTGGCTCATTTAGAAATGCTCAGGCAGCACTGAAGGCAGAGGGCCCCTTCTTGACCCAGATATGTTTCTGACTTGTGCAGCCATCAGTACTATGAAATTATTAGCTCAATTGAAGCAGCTCTGGCCCCTTGCACTGCCTCAACAGGAGGGTTAGAAAAGGTCTGATTACAGATTCTTTACATCTTAGGCTGCATGAACCATGAAAGAAACCAGGTCAATTCAACCTTCAAATTCCAGGAGGGCTTCTCAGGATAGGAAGGTAAAGGCAATCATACACATTTTTACTTCTCAGGCAATTAGAGCTGATTTGTAAATCACTGGGGAACATTAAAAATGTCTCCTATAAGTTGAATTACATACAAATCATTCCTGTTAGCCAATGTCTTGATTCTGTACATTTTCTGTTAAAACTGGACACACAGGGGAACTGTGTATCTAATTTAACTATATTTAATTGAAATCTGTGTACGTGCAGGAGCTACTGTGAAAATTAACCTTTTCTCCTGTAAATTTGGCAACAATACAAATGGGATTTTTGACCTGTCAGGCAACAGATGTGTATTTTAATACTGTGGCAGTATATGGCATTAATACAGGTATACACACTGGCTGCTGGAAAATGTCAGACTTGGAAGCTCTGGGCAAGGGAGGGACTAAAATGACTCCTGAATTTGCTTCACATGTGGCTTGTGGTACAGCATCTCTCAAACATCATCCAGTTCAACTGAGATGGAAACAAATTGCTGCGTTTTTTGGTAGGCATCTGGCTGGGGTGTGTGCACTCTGCATTTCATTTCTTTGATGCTGCAGAAATGCTAGAAATCCCAAATATTTGAGAAAGCAGCCTCATGCTTCACCCCTTGTATTTACACTGTGTCACTGTGCATTAATTCAGGGAGGCTCACACTGAGCTATGTGAATGTAACCTCTGGAGCCTGCAAGCAGTAGCTGTAGCTGTTCTTTTAATTTCCTCAAAAAAGGCACCACTGACTTATTGAGGAATAAATAATTGAAAAGATCCCTCATTTAAAAAAAAAAATATGGAAGCTAACATGCCAGATCTGTAACCTGCTCTTTTGACATGGTATTTCCACAGTAAGGCACAATATCAGCCGTGCCTCTCCTGCATGTGATCAGCTGGGAGCTCGTGTCACACTGTCACGCTTTATTCCATGCAGACAGAAATAGGTGTGAGTATCTTTCCATGAACTAAGCCAGCCAGCTCCCATGTGGGGCAGCCAAGAGCTATTTTGGAACCAACCATCATGAATTTATCTGGTCCCAGTGCTGACATAGCTTTAGAAAGGCTCGGGAAGGGGTCCCAAAGGGCAGATGGGACAGTCGTGTTACATGCACTACCTGCCATGGCAATGTATGTGTTACATGACACAACGCCCTCCAGGACAGCTGCCAGGCTGCCTGGGGAGTGCCAAAGGGAAATGCAGGGGGTTTCAAAGCCTCCTTCCACACTGCAAGGAGATATTTCCCTTCGTTTGGAATTTCTGGTATGAGATGCGTAAGGACTGATGTATCCAGTGTCCCAGCAGCTGCAGCCCTCCCCTGAGACATGGTGGTGAGAATTAATATGCTCCCATTGTCCAGTCTGAAAGAGAGGTTTAAAGACAGCTCTCCCTTCTCCTTGAGGGATGATCTCTTGGGGTCAAACTCTCCTGGTGCAGCTCTTCTACTCAGTGTAAACAATTACTGGCTAGCCCACAGCAAGAGGGAAAAGAAGACAAACTGGATTGCTCATTTGGTGATCGGGGCACTCGTGGGAGAAGCAGGGGAGCAGACTTCAAACTCCTGCTCTAATGAATATTGAATTATTTATACATACTGAAGAGCTTCAGCAGAGGTTAAGAGAGAGGCTGGATGATAGATATTCACCTCTGCATCTCTGAACCCTGCCCTCCCCTTGGAAGGGTTAGGTGTGTGCCAGAGTGGTGCAAAGGGAGGCTCCACAGGGGAGCTGCAGAGAACGGGGTCCTGGGGGGGCTCACGCATGTTGGGTGCCACAGGGGTTACTGCAGTGGGACACAAAGCCTGGTGCATGCTAAGCAGCCCTGGTGTAGGAAACACAAGTAACAAGGTGTTTTTAGGGCTGTGGGATATGACTGTGACACAGTGAATAGCATCTGGCCTCAAAATCAGCTCTAATGTGCAGGGGATACTGGAAAGGTTAATTCTCTGCTATCTCCATTAATTAGCCCTAAGCCTGGCTCCAAATGCATCCCTGAAAAAGCTGCAGCCACTGAATATGGTGCCTGTGAACATCCCATGGGGTAGACTCAGATTACCAAGGGAATTTGGCCTTTGGGAGTTTGGCCATCACTGCAAGTTGGAGGAAGGCTCCCAAACCACTGGGGAAAAACTACATTACTAATTCAGCTTTTAGAATCAGACATGGCCTTTTCATTGAAATCATACCCAGTTCTCTGTTCTGTATGGGCTCTGGCAGTTTACAGACTGCTCTAAGCCTTTTTGAACTTGTCTATTGAACACGTGGGTGCATGCAAGCTTTGCTAAACCTGTCTTTCCCCTGCACTGTGCCCCCATGTGCTCTCCTCAGCAGCTCACTCTCTCTAAACAGCAAGGGCAGATCTGTGTCCTGTAGCCAGCTGTGTCCACAGCGAGTTCCCTGCCTGCCTTCCACAGCCTGGTGTTCCCAGCAGCAGCTCTGCTGGGATGCCCATGACACCTTGCATTTTCCCTTCTCCTGAGACAAGCACCTTCCTTGGATAGGACAAGTCCTGTGTGAGAGTAGCACAGCCCCAGGACACACCACAGCTCTCTGCCCCTCTCTGCCTCTGGTCTCACCTCCTGAACGAGTGGTCTGTGGCTCTGGGGTGCATGGGGAGGTTTTGTTGCTGACACCAGTGCACAGCTTGCAGCTGCCCTGCCAGAGCAGGCTGTGCTGGGAAAGCAGGTCAACCCCTGCCCTGTCTGTGTGAGGGCCTGACTCTGCAGAATCACTCTCTAGCATCAGCAAATGTCAACTTTACCTGAATGAAACTGAATTCCCTCCAGTTGAGAGAGTTTGCGATGGATGGAAGTGAAGTGATGGCAAGTAACGACAGCAAGCCCAGGGCAATTATTCCAACAGAAATATAAATCTCCATCCTCCAGACTTCCTCCTCTACCCAGATTGTCATCTTCTTCTCCACAGCCTGGCATGACAATGAAGGTTTGTTAAAACGGGGTGCTTAGGGACAGAGGAACTGAATTTTATCTATTTTGGTTTTGGAAGCAGGTTTCCTGGAAGAGCACTGGGTCCTATTCACATCTCCAGCACTATTTGCCTGTTTAGGAGATGTGGAAATGCTCTCTTATCCCAAAGCCATTTGGCCAAAGCTAGACCTGATTTGAAGCCTGCTGGGAAGAACTGCTGAATGCTCTCAGCTCCCATGCCTGTAATCACAGCAGCAAGCCCCAAAGTCACATTTGGAAAGATAATTACAATGAGAACTCAGTTTAAAGCCATGAAAACAAATACAGATGCTTGAATATGCAGTAGTCTCCTAATAACCTTTGTTTTAAGTGCATTTAGGGGGGGAAATTGTTCATGCTAATGGAAGGGAAGATGGGTTTTATACTGCATGGCAAAGAGGAACATTTAGAACTGTCCTCTTTAGCCCATTAAATAGGTTTAATTTACTAAACAAAGATGTTGCTAGAAAACAGGAGGTAGAGGGGAAATGAACACAGGATGCTTGCCTGAGATTAATGTGCAACTGTGGCAATTGAGAAGAACCTGCTCAAGGCTGGAGCTGAGAGGCTGGGAATGGCATTTGATGTATGCTCTGAACAGGCACTGCTGCCAAAACCAGCCATCCCCACAGAGGGACAGAAGGGATCTGTCCTTTCCCTCCTTTTTGGGACAAATATTTGGACAAATACCCCAGCACAGAAAGCAGAGTGGTTGTGAGTAACTCCTTGATAACATTCACCCTCAGCTGCATGAAGCCTGTGCCATCCCAGGAGGGAGCAGCGTGGAGCAGTGAGAAATCAGGGGCAGGAAGGATCAAATCCCATTCTCCCATGGTACTGCCAAGTTACAGAGCTGACTGAACTGCCTGAAGGCAGCAATCTCACACTGGATAAACACTGCTGAGAGTGTCCATAAAGCAATAAAGTCCTTTTCCATTTCCTTGTTCTTATATAACCGGTTCTTCATTACCATTTTGTTAAACTCCTGCAGGCACATGGTGATGAGGACACACAGCCCTCCCTGGGTTATGACTTGGTTACTCCAGCAGGCACAATTATGAACATCACTGTGAATAAACAGGGATCTCCCAAGATTTTGGGAGCTGAAGGGAACTCTGCTCCTCCTACCACTGGATTTCCCCTCACCTAGCATTTCTCCTGCCTCTGACCTAGTCTCAGACACAGAAGTGCCAGGCAAGGCTGGTTTCCAAGGCTTGTCAGTGTTTCAGGGGAGCAGTGGCATAGGGGGGCTGATCCTAGCCCTGTAAATGCAGAAGGAGCTGTGTATCCAGGGAGATGGCTGGTCCTCAGCACAGATAGGTAGGTGAGTGCTCTGTCTGTGCCATGCGGCTGACCTGTGGGGGAAGTGCTCCTAGAGGTAACAGCTTTTTCCCACTGTCCCACACCTGCTCTGGAAAACAAATGAAAAAGCTAAGCTATTAAGCCCACCACCCAACATCTGCAGGAGTTTAGAAGATTGCTGCAGGTGCTGGTGTGAGGAGCACCCCCGTTACCTGCTTGACGGCGGTCTCGATTAGCAGGTACCGGTGGGAGCGGCGCATGGGCAGGCAGAGGCTGTAGACGGCGTGCAGGGCTGCACAGAAGAAGCTGAGGAGACCAATCTGCTTTCGGTGCTGGAGCCACTGGTCCAGCCAGTCTGGGAAGCGCCTGTACTTGGTGCCGTAGTAGAGCTGGGAGCAGGCTGCCAGCACCCCGGGCAGGTAGACGAGAGACAGCATGACATAGGACACGCACGGCAGCGTGGTGTTGACCACCTCGATGGGGATCTTGTACAGCTTGTTCTTCTGCTCCCTGATGTAAGGGTGGATGACCTGCCGGATCAGGTTGTAGGTGAAGAAGCAAAGAAAGAGCCCCAGAGCCAAAAAGATGGGGATTTTCCAGGCTGGCAAGAGGCGCAGGGGAATGTTCTCGATCTCGCAGGCTGATGACATGCAGCCCATGTCCACAGGGGTGAATCCCATGACCTGAGCAATTTCTGCTACTGTGCGCTTGGCTTCTTGGTTATTTGAGCAGATCAGAACCTGCAACAAATAGAAATACACACATAGGGCAAAGAAATCAGGCTGCTGGGATCAAGTGCATCGGGAGGGATTCTGTGTCACAGAGAGCCTATGTTATTCCACTGAGCATCATGATTCCTGGCAGGCTTTTTGACAGGGATTTACCACGGCTGCCAAAGACCTCTCTCCTGGACAGATTTCCTTTCATGCATGAACCACTAGTTTGTTTTACTGGCTCTGTTTGGATAAACAGACAACTGAATAATACTTTTCACTTAGGCAGATAGTTCAAAGACTACAAAGTGTGAACTGAGTGAAGGTACTTCATTTCTGGACAAAGAAATGCAGGAGCTAAGGGGTGATCTCTGAATGCCACAGCCAGCACTCAAGACTCCTTCTCTTGGAGCCTAAGGCCATTTGCTGATGCTGCCAGATCTCAGCTGCTGAAACTGTTGGGATTTAGCCCTTGCTGGAAGAAAACAATACCTGCTTATTTCCATCCCTGGCACCCGACTGCAGCGTCCACGCAGAAACCACATTAAACCCCTTTACCACGGTGCAGGCTGGGAACAGGGAGGCCAAGTACTCCGCGTTGGATTCCTTGTGATGGTTGATCTCGGTGTTGTTACTAACATCCACCAGGATCTTGCCCACCAGCACATCAGCCAGGTCACAGAGGGTGGAGTAATGTTCCCTGAAAATCGCCACAAAAATGACATCCGCCTTCTTCACCGCCTCGGCCTGGAAGGTGACCTCTGCTGCAGCAGGGAAGAGGCTGGCTTTCCGCTTCGGGTTGCGGCTGCCGACCACCACCTTGAACCCGGAGCACACCAGGCGCACGGCCAAGGACCGCGCAAAGTCCCCGCTGCCCAGCACCCCCACGGTGCGGCCGGCCGGCGGCGTGGGGCTGGAGTCACCCTCCGTGCTCCGATGGCCCAGCAGAGGTTTGGCCATGTCTCCTCTGGACATCCTGGCAGGAAAAACAAGGAGAAATGCAAATTCATTGTGGGGCTCTCGCAGAGACCCGGGCCACATCTGAGGTCACGGGACAAAATGCCACTTAGGCCACTTGAACACATGGTTTTGGTCCCAATAGCCCAGGACCTGTTTGCCAAACCCACCAGGAAATGTGCAGTAATGTACAGGCACCACTGGAGGGGCACAAAACACCATGCTGGGTTGGAAGGTGAAGGCTTTTACAGAGGTTTCCCAGGGTTGTGGGATCCAACATCTGCTGGATGCACTCATCCATCCTCTGCTGTCCTTCATGCTGGCATCTCACACTGCAAAGCCAGCCAACACTAAGAGCAATCGGGACCAGAAACTCTGAGATTCCCATGGAGCTACCAGATCTCCTAAAGAAGGAGTCCGTGAAGATCCCTGAGGCTACATTTGGAAAAGCTGGAGGGGTGGTTCTGACTTGCCAGGGTAGAATCAAGGCAGAAAGTCAAACTGAAATGAAAGTGTCCTATAAGTGGTAAACAAAGAGAGTTACAGCCCTTTCTTGTTCCAGTATTTGGGTCTGGCAAGCGCTGTTTGCTTCAGCTCTTTAATGAGTAATGAGAACTCACTCGTGACATTTAAAAAATATATTAAAACATGATGGGATTTGCTCATGAAAGATCTTGATGAGCTTTACAAACGTTAATGAATTTTGCCTTGTAACAGATTAGATATTGAGGGCATGGAGAGGTTTTAAGCAGATCAATAAATTCAAAGGCAGCACAGCAGCTGAACCTGGAGGTCAGAAGAAACTCGGTCAGGGAACTGCCGACTGCTCATGGGCTGTGTCAGTGGTTCAAATCTGCCTCCCAACTTAAGGAACAGCAAATTTAACTTAAAGGAATGACAAATTCCCAAGGGTGAGATTTTAAAAGGGCTCAGAAGGCAGCCCATGCAACTTACACACCAGGACATCTGGCTTTTGTATTGGCACAACGCTAGAGATTATTATAAAGTCTGTAATTAACAGACTTGTGATATACTGGGGATGCAGACAAATTTGCTTTGGCAGAGTGCAGTCTTGCCTTGTACCTGGTTCAAAGTGGTTAAGTTCTTTCAAAGTGAAGGTGACCACTTGGATGGGGTGACCTGGTCGCTGGTGCAGGTGTGTTTTTCATAGGCTTTTGTAAATGTCCTTCACCCACGGCTCTTCTGGGATTGGCACAGCAGTGGTGCAAAGGGGAAGGGCACTTCTGCATGAATAGTCACCAATGGGAAACAAAGGGTGAGAAGAAATAAATGATTTTTATAATGGGAATAGAGATTTCCCTGAGGATTTATGCCATCCAACATGCTCATAAGTGATCTGGGAAAGGGAGTGAATATTGAGAAGATGGAACTTGTGGGTAGTGATCACAGAATCACAGAATGGTTCAGGTTGGAAGTGACTTAGAGATCATCTACTCCCAACCCCTTGCCATGGGCAGGGACACCTTCTGCTAGACCAGGCTGGTCAAAGCCCCAACCAACCTGGTCCTGAACACCTCCAGGCATGGGGTATCCACAGGATCTCAGGGCAACCTGATCCCATGCCTCACCACCCTTATACTAAAGAATTTCTTCCTAATATCTACTCAAAATCATTTAGGACAGTCAATCTTTCTTGTGAAGAAGCTGCAAAAGGATCTCCTCATTCAAAGTGCCTGGCCACCAAAAATCACTACAGATGCTAGAGAGACATGACAAGAGTTGCCTGTGGGCATAATAAACTCCTCTAACCATATATACACTTTAATGAGCTGTAAATTTGTTAAAATCACTCAGAAAAATGTTCAAAGGGTCACATTACTATGAAAACACCAACATGCTGGTCCCAGGCAGACAAACATCAAGCACAGCCAAGTTACTGGAGGAGATCTCTCACACAGTAACCATGATCTCAATCCTGCTCCTCATTGAAAGCGTGCAAAACACCTTTAGCAGATGGACTTTGAAACTATAGTTCACTGTCCTGGATACAAACCCATGATGGTTTCAGTGACAATACTGTTTCCATGGCAGAGGTCTGTCTGCTCTCCTTGCCTCTCACCAAGCACCACCTTGTCCCAGAGACCAAAATGTATATTCGCAGAAGAAGTGCTATCCAGGGAAAACAAGTGCCAAAGAAGTGCATGGTGACTTCTTCCCCTTAAAAAGACATGTCCACTGGATAAATACAGAGATCAAACAGCACACTGCAGTTCTGCTTATTCCACTGCAAAAAACCTGGGGGAATAAACATAGAAAAGGGCCACAGGGAAAAAGTGTGAGGGATGACTTTCAGATCTGTCTGCAAGCACAGCCTGCTCTGTGCTTCTGGGTTTTCTCCTGGTCCCTTCTTATCAGAAGCTTTATCACACACTCACTGCTTTACTTCTTAGAAACCTTCTTGCTCCACCTAAATTTATTCATGTCCAGAACTATTTGTTCTAGGGCCAGCACTATTGCTCAGAATAATTAGCTTGCTCTCCCATACCCTCCCCACCCCTTTTCCACCACCTGTGCACACAAAATATTACCCCAAAATGAAGAAACACATTTCTGGTCTTCAGCCACAAGGGGAGAAACCAGCATTCAGGGTGACAAAGTGATTGTTACCCACAGACTAATTTCATAATCTATTTAAGCCACCTCAAAAGTTCTGTCTGTGGTCCCACTGGGATGTAAATGTTGCTGCAAGCAATTTTTCTTACAGTGTGTTTCCTCTGTCCTGCAGCTGCCACTGAACATGTAGAGAGATGTTGGCACTGTTTGGAGATAAACACCTCCAGTTATTTTGATTAAAAGGGATGACAGAATTAAACAGCCTTTGAAGTCAGCAGGATAGTTGCATAGCAAGACTCAAAACATTTTCTGTGAATTTTGGTGTGATAATTTCAGTCATGCTCTGACTGGTGGGGTTTTGGAGGACAGCTCATCCCTGCTGCAAGCCCTTGGTGGAATGGTCCCTGGCACTGGCTGCTGCCTGTGAGTTGCATTGCTGTCATTGCCACGCACTGAAATCCTCCTGAGAAAGGAGGGGAACATCTCTCTTTCACCATAGACACATTTCACTGAGACACTGTGGTCTCTGCCTAACAGATGCCTGGCAATGGACTGTCTGATTAGGCAACAGCTTTTTTTCACTTCTGTATCTCTGGGGAGCACGCAGACCCCCTGCCTCCTGCCACCACCCCTGACTTACTGTGCCCACGCTGCTTTTTCTGCACCTGTGGACAACATGTCACCTGCTTGAAACTCTCCTTCTAAAACTAATTCACCACAGCAAGGTCAACCCATCCAAAGCACCATGGCCAGGATGCTGCAGAGTCAGAGGCAGAGGAGGTCATGAGTGAATATCATGGTGCTTAGACACATCTTTAGCATCTCCAGACTTAGATAAACACTATTTATTGATCTTCCTCATCAAGCAAACTGCATCCTTGCTGAGTTATAGCACGTGCAATTCAAGGAGGTCAGTTTCTTACCAAGGAAGCTACAAGATGATTTAAAGCACAGCCCAGTGGGAATAAACACGCTCCAACTCTAACTGGGCAGCAGTTCCCTCACTAAAATACTGAATGCAATGTACAGCTGCCCTTCAGCTTGGCTGCCAATGACACCCTCACATCATTGCTGTGTCCAGCTGCAGCACACTCATTCCCGTGTGCAGCTCAGACACTGCACTCCCATTATTGCTATTAATTGCAGGGCATTAGCTGAGATGGACAGTGGGCAAGATGGGGAGCTCCCCTCTGCTGGGCACTCTACAAAAACTGTCCAGAAGGCAACTTCTGTCCCAAGGAGTGAGATCAGACAGACAGCAGCTGCATGAAACAAAGCACTCAAATCTCTGTTGTACAGGCAGAGGGAGGGAGGGGTTCTCACAGAAGAAAACCAGGGATAATTCTACATATTTTGCACCTGAGGTTTGGCAGAGGCTGTTAGCTTAGGCTCGGTGCCAGGCAAGCAAGGTTTTTCTGCCTCTCTGCCCACACTGAGAGGCCTCACTCAGGTTTTGCAGTAGGACAGCCATTCTGGACAGAGCTGGGCTGCAGGAGCCCACTCAGGTGTCCCTGGGCTCATAGCAGAGTCAATCTGCTGAGCAGATCATGCCCTGCAGCTACTGGGGAACAGGCACATTTGTTATCCTCTTTCAACAGATGTGGGGGAAGGAGATAATAACAATGATGGGACTGCAGCAAGTTTGTCTGGGATGACCCAGATATCTTTGACCATGTCTTTAACAATGAGACCATCTTTTGGGGCCCCTTTCACATCCTCTGGTGCAGGAGGATAGCCTAGCTGGTTCCTGTAATTTGCAGTCCAGAGGTGTTCGAGTTGCACAGTCTGAAGAAGGATGAACCTGTGGTGGCAAGGCAGGAGCTTTGCTTCAATTCTGGACAAAAAAAAATCAAAATTCATTTCAATGCCCTAGTATTCAGATTTATCAGATAAAAGACAAGTTGGTTTTACTCTAACTCTAATAAAAAGGCAGTGTTTTAAACATATCAAACTGTGATGAAGAATATGGCAGTAATCTCATACAGAGCTCCAATGAATGTCCTGTCCAGTGAAACCAAACTGGTTCCTGTTTGCACAGAAACTCATCTTTGGGCTCAGCCTCACATACTCAGTCTGCACCACCTTGGCTAAAACAACTGCTTTTGTGTCTTCCCCCAAAGTCAGTGTTTGTTTAGACTGACCACAACTGAGTCTCCATAAGCTGTGGATTCAACACATGCAAGTCATCAAAGAACCTGCTCTGTGCTTCAGCTTCTGCTTGGATGTTACTCGAGATAAAGCACATGATTATTATACACATTCCTTAACAAGCACATGGGTTGACAGACCAGCATGGCACAGGAATCAGATGATGCAGCAGAGCCCTTGGTCAAGTCACTGCAGAGGAACATTGTGATTTCTGCACTGGAAAGGTGTCTTTGGGCCCTGCCAGCCATGGGTGGCATGAGCACAGTCCCACAAACACACACACTCCCGGGACAGGG